ATAAATTCCGGCTGACATCCTCGTACATTTATATTCAAATCCTTATCCCCTAGATATTTCATGATCCAGGGAAAGTGGTAGCCGCCAGAACTTTACTTAAACACTTTTACGGATATCCCAAAAACGTGCACATTGTATTCCATTCATCGAATAAACTCCAAGTGCCCTAAGCGATATTCTTTTTCTATCTGACTCGATCAGTGTAATTTTAGTTACGTTAATTTCCACCACAGTCACTTCGGTAGCCCGTCTGATGCAATTTCTACATTCACTGGCCTTACCAACCTGATGTTTTTATTATAAAATAAAATACTGTGATTTACAGAGTTCCCCCAGGGAGAATAGAGAACATGTCAAGGTAACAAAGTCACAGACGTCGGTATACCTCACTGAACACCGATAGACGACTGATCAGGCTGCAATTGTGCAACACAGGCATTATGACCTGCTCGCGGATGTCATATCCAATGCCGCAACGGTTCCCAACTGGATTGTGTCTGCTTCGTTCAGATGTGCCAACCTGAGTCCATTCCACATCTCCGAGGTTGCCAGTCTCAACCAGTGTCAATAACAACTATTTGATCATTACCACTACGCATCCATTGCTAAGTGACAAGGCAGGTTTTCCCCAGGTAGTCTCTTTGGTAGTCTTTACTGAAAGACTGTGATGTTGACGATGCTACTTCAAAGTAAACCGTAGAAGGGATTCCGAGATCATTGATGCTGTGCGGCTGAGTGGTACCAACTGAAGATACCATATGGAGAGATTAACCGTGTACGTTTCGACATGTGAGTGACGATGCTTCTCAACTATCGTAACCCGTCACAATCAAATCATCTTTTTCAGAGACATTTATTTCCGAAAGCGAAGCGAATGATGTTCGACTTCATTTTGCGGTTTTGCCGTTCTCGGTTGCACTGAAAGCACAACGACAAACAGGGAGCCAATAGGGGGAGCGTGAATCAAAACGGCAGGTAGATAAACACTGCTGATTTCATTTTTACACGAAAAAAGGAAGAGGGAGAATGTACCTAAAGTGTGCTGAAAAAATGTACTTGTTTTTCTCGGTCAATGCACCAAACGAGAGGCGGCTGGATCAAGAAGAACTGACTGATCTACGACGAACAGCGACGGGGGAGGGCAAAACATACCAGGAACGGTTATTTGGGAAGAGTGATCAATCAGCACATCCGAAAATTCCACGGACATCGAAAGAAACATTGAATTCGGCGTCAATCGACTCGAACACTGAGGATGATGATGAATAGAAGCGCAAATCAGGATGCGAGAATACCCACTTGCTAGTGCGCCGAGACGAAAACAGCGCGCACATCACTAAATCGGTCGAGAACAATGAGAACAACGGGATATGGATGGGCATCGAACGTGAACCGAACAGAATTGGTGACAGAGACAGGAAGTAGAAGAAGTAGACTAAAAGAAAATGGGCTTTTTTTAAAATGAGGCAGTTCGTGAAAAATGCGCAAACATTACCGTTACAGTGGTATTACAGACCATCGAACCGATGAAAATGCGGTACAGTGGGCGAAAAATAAAGAAGTTTGAATAATTTGGATGCATAAACGGATAAAGAGGACGGAGTCTGCCAGGCGATCACTTAGCTGCAGCAGTAGTGGAAGCCTTTGGTCGTCGACGCAAGTATGCGTCGTGGTTATGATTATCCAAATCGTCTCCCTGTGATAGCGGTTCTGTATCCTCGCTCGAAGATGCAGCATCGGTCAGAGGTAATACATTCCCTTCAGATTGGTCAACTGATTGCGAGTTGCCTGTCTTCTGTTTGTCTAGCATTTCTTTGCTAACTCCAAACTCATTCACACGATTTGGATCCATCGGATAGATCCAGCGTTGATAAAGATAGATGAAGAAAATCACATCTGAAAGCGGAGTGGGCAGAAAAGAGAAAAGCGGGAGGATAGATGGATGGGCGGGTGGATGGATGAATATTAATAACATCAATGGTAGAAACGCTTACCATCTCGCAAACAACCGATCCGATACAGCGTGGGCATATGAATAACAAAGGCGAAAAGATCGTCAATGAACGTGTTCAACGCCTTGTAGGTGAGCATTCTCCACGGGAGGTGAGCGACCGATTTGAGTTTGTAATTGATGAACAACTGTGGAGTCATCATGATAAACCCTATACACAAGGAATATACATGCGGAAATGTTATTATAGCAATTATATATAGAGAAAATAGAATAAATAAGAATGTAAGATATTCAGCCTACAAAATTAAATCGATAGAAGGGTATTGATAAAAACATCTATGATCTGACCATAAAGTCATGCCAATTCTGCACGGAAAAAGTTACGCTGAGTCCTCCGTGGACTAAACAGTTAGTTTTGGGATCCGATGCGAACACCCAGTATAGTTATGATCACCGATTACAACACCCATTGTTCTGAAACCGTTTAAGGCACATTGAATTTTCTTGGCCGTGTAGCTGTCAAAACTATCCTAAACTGGATCAGATCGATGATAATTTCGAAATACTTTACCACAAAGTAAACCCAAGGGAAGTTACCTAATCGACTTTTACGGACGGGCGAAAGGTAGGAACAAACACAGAGATCAGCAATGCAATACCTGGAGTCGGTTACCGCGGCAAGTCTCACAGACGGAATAAGTAATACAAGCAATGTTGTGTATTGCTTTTTGGTTATGTTTGTTTATTTCGCGTTTGTAGCAGTAATGCAGCACATGATAGGGTCAATTCCAATGGCATTGTCTAGAACAAAATCGTTGTGCAGACCGGTGTCAACTTATGTCAAACTATGGAGAAACGAACGGGATTTGGAACCAACACACTAATCTCCCGTTTGTCATATCACACGGTGCCAAAAATGATAAATGGGGACAAATGCACAGTAAACTGATTAGTGCTTGTGAAACAAACCGCCTCAGCGGTCTAATTATGATTCCTCAGTCTACGGGGAGGGCCGTCGCACCAGAGAAAATATTTACAAAGAGAATGGTTAGTAAACCTGAAAGAACGAAAATGAGCGAAAAATCCCAGGCCGTTCCACACACATTCACAAGCCGAGAACGAGTAGAGCAGAAAACGGACGGGGAAAACGATATGAAAAACAGACCAATAGCAGTGAAAAAATACATACCAAATGTTAACAGAAAACCGTACAACATCGATAGGACCCAGGAGTACCAACCACGATGTTCTTGATACAGCAGAGAATAGCCGCAGTAGATCGCCAACATGGGAAACAAAACCCAAGATAGATACCGGAAGGCCATCTGAAATGAGAAACAATGAGGACTCGGTCATCAGATAAAAACTAGGGGGATAGAGGTCAAAATTTCACACAGCTGGAAAAAACAAAACTGTAGGCATGAAGATATTTGCCTTAACCGAGACAAGTGTTTCAATATTCGACCTTGACTATTAATCAATTGCTACAGTTGTTAGTAAATTGAAAAAGGATCCAGATAGTGTACCTCGCGATTTCAGTACAATCTATTAGTGTTCAATTATCAGCCAAACAAGTAGTAAATAAAGTTGCATTGGTTAAGGATACAACTGGGACATAATTAGACGGAAGCTCGCATTTCATTGAATGAATGCCCCAGCGATAACTGGAAACGACGGAAACCCTCAAACCATAGGACTGGAAAAATTCCTTTAGTATAGGATAGAATAAACGAGATTCATTTCCTCAACCAGACGTTTTCAAAGGCCTAGTCGCGGTCAACCACTGAGGGACCATATTCAGCAGAAGTGGAGTGGTGTCAAACAATGTAAGAGAACGAATGTCCACTGGGTAGTAACAGTGGTACACCGATCTCTCTTTCTCGTTGTGTGCTTATCAACCCATCTTACCTGTTCCAGAAAAACGAATCTTTACCGGTGTCCCTTGGAGAGCTTAGATTTCACTCACCACAAAGCAAACATAACACCTGTTTCCCTTTGAACAGTTTGGGATCCCAGAGTACACGGATTCCAACCCCACTTTAATGATTAAGTCCCAGGAGCGGCGTGAGTTCCCGTTCAATAGAAGCACGACAACCAGCTGCACAACATCGCACAGGTAATGGATAGGATGCACTTCTAAACACTACATTGTATTCTATCTGAATCGGTCCATTAGCCACAAGGAACATAATCACCAACAGAACTTCACAGAAGCAAGCGTTTCGTCAAGATATTCGGTGCGCGGTGAATTTAAACAACTCTTCCTATGCCATCCCGGTAACCACACGATCGACTTAGTTCATTTATCGATCGATTGGATGGTTCAGCTGCAATAAGGGACGTGATGCTTGCCCAGTTAACCCGAGAGAGAGAACCCACACCTTGTCCACAACCTTGAGTCTTTAGCATACTCAGTAAACTTGCACTGTGCACAGCAGGAGTGTTATCATCACACGGCCGGATTACAGGTGACAACAAGAAAATCACAAGCATTATGAACCGGTAATCAAACAGTCTTATGTAGGGTTGAGGTATTCTAAGTTGCGTAAATCGCAGAAAAAATCCAATCAGATCGAAGATGATCAGAGGGAATTTAATTGTATAAAGTCATGGGTAAAAAGACGATGTGAAACGATGGAGTAATCGCACTGTACTGTGAAGTCTGGGCCTGTATTAGCTACACTATCCGGACAGGAATTAAAATAGAATCATTTCATGGCAGAAGCGACTCTAATGGATTGTAATCTTCGATACGCACGCCGGTTTCAAAGATAACAAGAAACAAACCGTATCGTCCGACGGTTGATACCAAGGAGTGAACATTTTCAAGCAATTCTCCTGAAAGGGAACCTGACTTTGAAGTAGCAGTCGATCATAACCCGTCCAAAAATGCCTCATCTCAATCGGCTGCTTCCTGATTCTCATCGGACCATCCCGACGGAAAATGGCGAGACTGTGTCAGAGGCGGCAATACATGCCATCTTACATTTTACGACAAACAAAATAAACTAATGATTCATTCATCATTCACCATACAAACGTCAAAATATTCCGAACTCTGTCAAGTCAGTCAAGTCAGTAGTAGCTTTATGCACCCGGATGGGTGTATTTTCGTTCTACTTATTCTGCTGCAAAACACTTGCCAGTGGCAGTATCATGTTCTCGGTTATCATCGTTTAGTCACACAAACGGAATCACATATTTTCATTCCACGTAGACCGTCACACACGCTCACCTCATGAGAAAACATTCCAGGCATCTTTGTTTTGTAAAAACGGTGCACCAAACAATTGGCGCTGAATGATGTGATCAATGTCCTACCGCATACACACCTCGTCTATTTGCATACAGAACGACTGTTTTCCTGTTTCATTGCAGCCGTGTTACTCTCTTTCAATGTTAAGCAAGTTGTACCTTTAGGTGCTTGACTTCTGCTGTATTTGAGTCTGTTGAATTGTTTATCGACAGTTCTAGGCTCACCACACCGACAGAATGGTGACTTTAATGAACGAAGTAAATACGTCTAACTGAAAAATTTTGCCAACCAACCAAATACGCAAGGTCAAACAGGACACGCTGGCACCTTGCATTGTCCAGTACAGTTATCATTCGAAGCACAACGTTTAGTGAAACCTCAATCGTCACCAACCAAAAATCGAACAGCACATTTGCGACCGTTTAAGGAGTACAGAAACGTGCCTTCAGGAGTGATGATAAATAAGAGCAACGAAAAACTACTACACTTGATTAGAATCATCGTGAAAAATTCGTTGAAACCAGGCTCCGTTAAGAAGATGGCACTGAAACTGGAAAACTCCGGTCAGTAAGTTAGGCCTTGGTTACCGGTGTATACTGTCACGTAAGATCAAGTGTTCACCTCGAGCATCTAACCGGGATAGTTCTTGAAAAAAATAATTAACGCGTGTGACAGACAGGATTGGCTCGATTCGAATTCCTGCTAACAGGGGATGATCAAAGCAGCACTACGTAACCATGAGAACAAGAAGTGGGTAAACGTCCGGGTAATAACAGAAAACGAAGAGGTTAAGATGTGGAGCAGAGTGAAACGAGGGCAAATAGTTATATTGGGTTAGAACAACACTCTTTTCGTTTATTTGACCGTACATCTGTTCTGGACCACATCTCTCAGTGTCTCTAACCAACGACAATCCTCATCCCTTGGGCCCAAACCTGGAAGACGGGCTGAGGCTAACTTCTGTATATCTCTACTCCATATCATAGTCTGATAACGGCAGCGCTTCTTCCAGCCTTGCCCAGAGCTTGAAGAGAGCACGGAAAAGTGGACGATGGGCAGACATACGCAAAACATAGTCGAACCATTGGAGAGACGGTGTAGAGCGATTACTTCTTTTACAGAACGACTTTTCACACCCAAAACACGACGATGAACTGCGTGCCTTGGTCACGAGAAATAGAATTGTGATATCTATAGTGGATACCGTCTTTGTTCCAACACACTGGAAAAACATAATAACCACGAGATAGACAATGTCGTTTATTTGTAAAGGAAAAGAAATGTATAATGCAGTAAATAACAGGTATACATTGTTCTTTTAGAAGCTCTGAATTTAAATACCCGTGTAACAGCTACAAGTATATCATTCGCTCAGTCGTTGAAATCGTGTTCCCATTTAACCAAGAATGTCTACACAACCCCTATTTAATTCAGTTAGAAAAAAAACAATATACGAAGTTTCCGATAGTGAAATTAGAAAATAAATCTACGAAAGCATACCCCGTTTTATTGCAGATGGCTATAGGACAAAAGTAGTTGGCGGCATTTGAGTAAATATTTTCATAAATATGAAAATTTAAATTTAACGGTGATTGTGACCCACCTGATCGTATTTTTTAGTGTCCGTCTCAACATATGATGTTTGATAGCCGATTTGAATTCTCGGGAAAATTCCCCAAACACGTGTAGAGTGATCGACCTGAAAAAAGATAGGGGGAAAGAAACATGTTTCGATGGGTTAGAATACAATAATGTGACTAATGATTACTTGAATATTAAAATGTTTCATTTCGAGGTGAAGCAACACTCGTTCAAAGTGATACGTGCATTAATTTCTAAATGACTCCCATCTCAATCGTTGAATTGGTTGGGCAGAGGTGAGTACTGATTACCACAAAGATCCGTGGTTATCGACAGTCCTCAATGGAAAGTAAATTAAAAGGACTAATTTGAAAGAAACGTTTGAATAAAGCCCTTTTCCGTCTAAAAAGAAAACTATTTCCCCTTAAACTGTATTCGGTTTTTAAAAAATGAAAATGACGCTTGCTGCGCTGCGCTGCCCCTAATTGGTCTGTTCCTCTTGACTTTCGAGCTTAATTCCATAGTCCTCTGATGGCTGAGACGAGAAGTGTACAAAAACAGATGAGAGCGTTGTCCCGACTGCCTTTGGGTTGAGCGAAATACGGTACCCAGCCCGAATTTTTATCTTCCTTTTGATTCCGCTGTCTCAAGAACAGTATAACGCTGAGTGTCCTATTGACTGTACTAACATTGGTAGCGTATTTTACAGGTACTCGATTGTACTCTGGGTGTCTCGGGCTCCGAAATGGCCATTCGTCCCGAACTCCTCTAGAAATGCTCCCAAACGACCAAGCGCCTCAAACAGCTTCTGCTGAGGAAGTCCTACCCACTGTCTTCCCGTGGCGGTGTTCACACTAAAGTGGGAGAGCAAAGGTGAATGCTCGGCGCTTTCCACCACGTTGACTGATAACTGGTAGTCAGTCTACGGGAGTTGGCTAAACCTTGATTCCAAACCACCCACACCTAGCGTAAGAAGCTCATAGTGGCACCAATCTTCGGCGCAACCGAACCGATCTCCAAAGTTAATCCTTGGAGTTGACCACCGTGATGCTCACCGGCAGGTGCGCGGCTCAAGGGCAACCTTGGTACCCTGGATAGTTGGCCGCATCCGAAAGGCGTATGAACTGGCGTTGGTATCGCCTTAAGCGCCAGGGCCGATGGTGGCCTATTGGATTGGATCCTGATAGACAGCCGACTATGAGCAGTGAGACTCAGAGGCTCAAGTAAGGTCAAAAAGCATAAATCAAACGAACGATGCTTATTCGTGGTTTCTACATACGCTCCCACAGACTGTAGCCCGGATACAGTCAAGGACGCTTTCTATTACAATCTTCTGCTTCTTCTCAAAGCACCTAAGACGGATATCGTGATCCTGCCCGGAGACATAAATGCACGCGTTGGTCGTCTGTCACCCGATGAAACCCACCTTCGCGGCCGTCATGGTCTTGATAGTTGTCGTTCAGAAAATGGGGATAGACTTCTTAGCATATGCTCACAACACGGTCTGTTCCTCGTTAGCACGAACTTCAGACATTCTAAGCGTCACCTCGCCATCTGGCGTAACCCCTCTTCGGCACAGACGCGGAGTCAGATTGAACATATAGCTATTAGCTATAGATGGAGAGGATGTGCGAAAGACTGCTGCTCGTATTGGTCTACCTGCTTGGACTCCAACCACGCATTGGGTTGTGCCAAGTTGTCTATGCGTTTTCGTGGCCGAAAAAAGATGCGATGCAAACATCTCGACGTCGTCAAGCTCTCTGACCCAGCCGTACTAGCCGATTATCAAAAGGAGTTAGCCGCAAGGCTAACTACTACCCCACCAAGTAGCGTAGATCAACACTGGACAACCATTCGAAACGCAATGCACTCAGCCGGTTTGCACAGTTGTGGCCTAACCCGCTGAGTTGTAAACCACTGGGTCTCCTCCAACTCTCTCAGACTCCTCGACGCGCGTCGGGCACCCCCGACAGACTGCGAGTACAACGAACAGCGCCTCTCCCTGAAGCGTGAACTCACAAAGAGTTTGAGAGACGAAAGAGAGGCCTGGTGGACGCTACGTGCAAAGGAGATGGAATCAGCGGCTAGGTGTGGAAACACCCGACAACCATTCCAGCTCATCCGTGCCATAGATCCAAGAAGGTAGTGCGTTAGTGGAACAATCTGCGAAGTAGATGGCACGTTAATAAACAGCCTTCGCCGACGATTGGAACGCTGGGCGGAGCACTTCCCATCGCAGTTCAACCAGCCCCCCGCGCTGGTTGCCCCAAGCAGTTCTCTTGAAAGTGCACCCTGGCCACTACCCACGGGACCACCCACAGAAGCGGAGATCCGAAAGGAACTCCAAGCCCTGAAACGCCACAATGCAGCTGGATCAGACGGCCTGCCACCTGCTCTCTTTAAAGATGGTGGAGATGCTCTAGTAAGAGAACTTGTGAGACTGTTCTCGAATATCTGGGAAACTGAAAATGTACCCCTCATATAGGGAGAATCGATTGTCACACCCATCTACAAGAAGGACTGTCGCAACGCCTGTTCCAACCACAGGGGCATATGCCTGATCCCAATAGCGCCGAAGCTGCTAGCGTCCGTGTTATTACGCAGGTTATGCCCATTCCGCGAGAAGCAAATCCGCGAGGAGCAGGCCGGGTTTTGTGCACGCCGTGGATGCATAGATCAAATCTTCACCCTCCGTCAGCTACTAGAACACCACCACACATACACACGACAAACCATTGTCATATTTTTAGACATCAGAGCGGCTTTCAACTCTATCGATCGCCCCGCACTATGGAACTGTTTACGGAGATACGGAGTACCCGAGAAGTATGTCTCACTCCTAAAAGCGCTCTATCACCAGACCTCGGAGAAGGTTAGGGCCTATGGTGAATTTTCGCCCTCATTTCCTGTCACCAGTAGGGTGCGACAGGGTTGCCCTATCTCTCCGTTTCTCTTCAACTTTGCCATAGATGATGTCCCAAAAAACGCGTTACATAACGCAGCGAACGCTGGCGTCGAGCTTCTTCCTGGGGACAGAGTCGTAGACGATGATATTGCCTTACTGGGTGACAACGCTCCAATGATTCAACAGTCGTTGAACCATTTGGCAATTGAGGTTACTGGCTATGGTATGTCAATTGCACCTTCAAAGTGCAAAGTGTTGTTGCAAGATTGGCAGGAACCCATTCCTGCACTTTCATTGGATAATGACACTCTGGAAGTATTCGAAAGCTTTGTCTACCTTGGGAGCTGCATAACGGCTGGCGGAGGTGTGGGCAAAGAGATCTCTCAACGCGTGATCAAAGCTAGATTAGCGTTTGCTAATCTGCGGCATCTCTGGCGCCGGCGCGATATATCCCTTTCATTGAAAGGACGTGCGTATTGCGCAACGGTACGCACCGTGTTGCTCTATGGCTGCGAGATCTGGCCTCTCCGAGCAGATCACGTCCAGCAGCTATCAGTCTTCCACGACCGTTGTCTGCGCAACATCGCCCGCGTATGGTGGGAGCATCGCATGAATAATGATGAAGTCAGACGACGGGTGCTAGGACCAGATGGTCTTACTTTGGGCAAAATAATTTCACAGCATCGTCATAGGTGGCTAGGGCACATCCTACGAATGCTTGAGCACCCACCGTCTGCCACACCATGCACTGCTTGCAGACATCGGTCCAGGCTGGAAGAGCGACGTGGTCAGGCTATGACATGGCGCAGAGGGTTGAAGAGATTGTGCTCGGATCTGGCTTCCGTTGGGGTTTCTCGGCTCCCCGGCTGGGGTCCCCCAAAGATTCAGATCGTCTTTGGCTGGAGACACTGCGGGATATGGCATCGAACCGAAGTCAGCGGCGCGAAAGCATCATCTCTTGTCTACAATCCCAAAAATAAACAAAAACGAAAAAAGCTCAAAATGGCGTGCAGTGAACAAACAAAAAATATTGTTACTCCTCGAAGTTGACTGTTTTATTCTCCCCGTTTTTGTACCTATACTTTTTCGTTCACCCATGGTTATCTTTGGGGCCGTATCTGTAAAGATTGGTGTAAATAATAATTTTAAAAAATCCTTAAAAAGCGATGGGGACAGCCGGTCAGGGCCGAAAGCCTTATGCCGTATCCCAGGCAACCTCCATTTCAAACGGAGGACTGATACCAACTGATAGTATTTCCGTAGTTGAAGCGGATAGGGGAAGGTTTTGTGTCGACGTGCAACAGCTGAACTATGCCTTAAAATGCTTTACCCAACGTTCAAGACGGCGTTCCTGAAATTGATTCAGTGTGCCCCCAGACTCCTTAATTACCTCAATTACGCCTACTTTCCTTGGTCCTGTACTCCTAATTAAACGAAAAAGATTGCGACAATTACCGATAGCCGCAGCCTTCTCCATCTCTCTACACTTCCCTAACCACCACTTCTCGCAATTATTCCTCAGACTCCTGATAAACTGGCGTTTGAGGGATTTTCGCGCTTTGTCGCATTTTGAATCTGAAGGAATGCCTTTGTGAGCGTCCAGTAGGGCGACCGAGGTCGGGGAGATCCATCGTTTCTTATTTGATCGTGCGCCAGAACGTTTCGTTGTTTTGATCCACGTTTGCATCGCTTCCTTGATTGTCGTCCAGTGTTCACCGAGTCCTCTGACCGATGATTGAGCTGAGAGGCGATCTGATAGTTCCCCATCGAAGGCCGATTGGCAACCGTCGCTGATACTGTATTGTGGGCATCCGTTTTCAGCAGATTTTCTGCGGTTGTTTATCAGGCGTAGGGGGAATCTCGCTCGTAATAGAGCATGGTCCGTGTCCACGGGTGTTGACCAGTAGGAGCGGCAGTCCTCAATGGATCCCCACTAGCGGTGGTTTACAGCGATGTGGTCGATTCGAGTCCAGCGCTGTGAAGCGGTTGATGGTCTCCATGTAAGCCGGTGTCGTTTCATGTGAGACAAGTTGATGCTTGACAGAAACAACCCGCGGTCACCCGTGTGGGAACTTCTGGAGATCTGTCACGCAAGGCCTTTGAGTTTCGATTAATTGTGTTATTCGCCGGTGCGTTGATTATCGGTCCGCTTTTCGGAACCAGCCCTTAGTCTCATGCACCCAATGAGACAAGTGGAACATGGACGGGACAGCACCTTATTGGCTGGGGGCTGTCCAGCTGGGGCGGGCGGTAGCTGTCCAATGAAGTGAGAAGACTTCTCCCAATGTCGAGAGGAAGCCCCAGGCACCTGGCTCCTACGACCATCTAGCGGGGGGGTTTCGACTGGTAAACTGCCCCGCACTGTGTTTATTTGCTGGAGTGGCCTCTCCAGGGGCGGGNGTGGATAGAAGAAGGAAGTCAGGAGGTGCCCAAGCAGCTGGATTTGTGAGACTGAGCTTTGTCTGGCCTCTAGACGTTGACCTTAAGCGACAGTCGGATGTCATGGCGGCGCCACAGGTTGGCGAAAGCTGCTGTAGATTTCACTATTCGTGATGTCATCTCTTCCCCGACACCATCTCCAGCTGCGATCAAATCATAATTCTATATGACCATCACAGTTGACAAGTGGAGGCAGAGGCTCCTGCCAGTCTTGTACAAGCACTGCGCACCTAGATGGTGGGAAGCACATATCATACCTGGAAACCTCTATCGGCAAACGGTTTAAATCGTTTTGGGCTGCCTGGTTGTTGTCACTCAACAAGGCGATATCGTCAATGTATTCTACGTCAAGAACCCTGCTCCTTGGGAAAAGCTCTTTCCCACGGTTTGATAGATCAGACAAAGCATTCGGTAGAACATATACGGCGAAGTTGAAGAGGAATGAGGATATAGGGCAATTTCATCGCACTCTACTGGAGACGGCAAAGTTAGGCAAAAGCTGGCCATAAACACTAACCCGACCTGAGGTATGATAACACGACTCTTTCACCACTGAAGCGAAAACGAAAACATGCAATTCTGGTTCATTCAATAAAATGTCCCGGTAGACTCGTGCCTTCGTACGGATAACTGATGATTCCACTAATCGGGACATTCGGGAAAATCGAGGTCACACCAAACCACAATATCTGCTTTCCTCCGAGATTAAGGTTCCTCTATTAGACGGAATATAAGTATGTCCTGTCTTAGAGCTTAAGGTACCCAAATGAGTTGAAATGGAACTAGCGGCTTACGTCAGGAGCAGGAGAATTCAAACAGTTCTAGGTACTTGGCAAATCAATGCCCTAGTTCATGACACGCGAAGTGACGAAAAATTGGTCTCATTAGGCTGCCTTCTGACGCAGTTATAGTACGTCGTACCATTGACGACGCATCGTACTCGTTGGTCGTAACTGATTAGAAGTTAGATCATAGATTATTCCATCTGGTTTCACTTTTTTATTCCGACTAAATTGTTTTATTTCTGATTGAATTGAAGTCTCTATCAACTTGGCATCATTACAAATAACTGAAAACGGGGTCCTTGCCCCGTCGCGTTGTTTTAAATGGTACGATATTGTGTGGAAAGGATAGAAAGGTAGATTATATCAATCCAAAGGACACAAATGATGAATCGTTCGGAGGGGAAGCAGGAAAGATGCATTAGAATGCGCTTATTGCATGTGTTTTCATTGGAAAAATGTGCAGAACAGTGCAAGTTTTCCCACTATTCGTCTATTTAATGGTTTGAGACTTTCGCCCCTTGGACTAATCTTGCACCGGAAATGAAATCGCTCAAATTAAATAGGTGTGAGACAATTTCGATGATTCAGACTCTCAACACAAAGCGTGCTAAATACGTAAGAAAAACATCTAGACCAAGAGAAATAGGAGACTGATATCAGATCAAAGGGGAGTGAAAATGACGAACTGCAGAAAAAATCTGATTGGGCCTTCAAATCGCTTCGAAAATACCCTCTGAAACTCTGTGGGAAACAGTTTTGTTATTGGTCGGTTTTGGTCGATAGCAATTACTTCCACTCCGTTGCTCCAAATCGTTTTACTCTCCTTCCCGAGTGCGAATGATGAACTAGCACTTTTTTCTCCGAACACGCCCCCTCTCTTCCACGTTCAGACAAATCCACTGAGCCTGCTCAGGCTTGCTTCGTACAACTACGATCGAGAGTGCAGTGTTCTACCGCCAGATCGATCATCGCTTCGTCTGATTTCGCTCCTCCGCATGTACACAAACGCGCGAACACAATCACGCACTCAGCTTTCAAACGAGGTTTACCTTGATCAGTGACCATTGCCAATGGATTATTTCTACTTGGTGATCGTTTTGTTCCTCTCAATTCACTCTGCAATCAATCAGTCATAACAAAAGCAATTTGAAGCATCAATTGTGAATTACTAAAATTTCACATGCTTTTTCTCCATTTTGGACCAGTCGAAGAAATATCGTTCGGCCGGAATTCGATGACACCGTTGAGAGTATATATTGCTTTTGGCAGAATAGATCAAGTGCAAAGCAAGGTGATAGCAGGAAAGGGTATACACGAAACACAAGTGGCAAAACCTGGATGCACACACGCACAGATTTGGGAATGCCATTTAGGTGGGAATTCAGGAAATAAGGAGTATTGTTGATTCTGTAGTTTGGGAAACGAATATACCTGTTAATGGAGCTCAACCGCAGTACGCTCCGAATAATCTGTGACCGGGTGATCAGGCATTCTGCACAGCATAATCCGGGTGTAAAATATTCTCACGCACTAAAATCATTCACAGCCGTGTGTACATTTAGTGTCAGTCAGCTGGTATAACTGCCATTGATCAGTTTATATGGGCGTTGAATCTGACGTTACAAGCCCGCGAATCGTGGAGCACGTTCAAATGTTGCGCAGGCTGAGTGAGAGGTGCGACCGCTCAACCAAAAGTTGCAGGGTTTACTATGTGCTTTTTCATATCCATAATCAATAAGCAACGGGAAATAATGAGAACTGGCACAATCAGGGACAGTTGCTTCACATACTGGTGTCCCGGCATCCGACCAGAGTCATGTGAACCCTCACGAGTCATTAGAAGGCGGAAGGTCTAACGAACTTGAACACTACGCTTCTGAAAAGACGACATTGCAGCAGCTTTATGGCTCGCCAGGGGTTTGTACGTTACAATGTTTGTTTGTTGTTGCAAAAATACATAGGTTACCTGTTATCTGACTGAGCAAATATTCTACGAACACCGTATAGCACTTATTCTCTCAGTCCAACGCTTCATGATCTAATTCCTTTATTTACAACCTAAACTTCCCACTTTCATGGGCACTTGGAGTACATGCGGTAAGGAAATAAAAAGGAATTTGGTGCACAACCTAGTAGTAACATGAGCGGCTGTCAGCGAGAAAAAAACGCAAATCACTTAAACGGTCCGAAAGGCAAACAGACAAACATAAACAACACCTCAGGGATAAATTCACCAACCTGAATAAGGAGAACTTTTTTGATCTTCCAAATTTCAATTCCCAGACCCAAAAGCACGGAAATAGTGATCAGCATATTGGTATTGTTGTCTAACACATAGAGGAACACAATCAACGATTGAAAGACATTGAAGAACACAGAACGGACAGAGAGTCCCTCCAAAGACTCGCGTGTATTCCAGAATTGAATGTCTATGGGCACAATCGGAGCAGAGAAGTGTAGGAGGGCGGTGAGGTAAGACACACAATGGTTATAAAACTAAATTGATTGTCCAAGTGCATAGAACTCAAAATGGACAAACAAGTGTGGAGACAGTGCGGTTTACAATGATCACTAGTGGACAGATTACTCACAGTGTATCAAATTACTTATGCGTAGACAGGTTACACTAAATGAGCAAAGCAGTCAGTAGTGTCGAAACACCTCGAGGAATAAGACACTGACATAACTATAAGAATCGAACAGAGGTAATCAGACGGTGCAAAAAGTGTAATAAGGATGAGAATTGATGTAACAAAAATAAGAACCTATGGGATTAAGCTGAATAACAAAAGGAGAATTTGAAGTGGATAGTTTATTATTGTTATTAGCATTGTAGATAGAATGCAATAGTCAATCCGGTAGTTATAGAGAAAAAAATGGAGTTTCTGTTAACTAATGAATGAGGTTAGATCTGACCTTGCAGTTCAGGTAAAATACAGTCAATTATTTCATTGTATCCTGTATTACTGTTGTTTCTAGTCAATTGTCTTTCAATGCCAGAAATATGTAGGTCATTGTGTTCTGGTTCGAAAGAATCCATATTATTCGAAGTAAACTCTGTCTCAAAGAAAGTTACTCAGTAGGCTATTGAGGGCGTAGATTGAATCCACTCATACAATGACTCATTCCAACACCCATGCCTGAGCATGGTGACCGAGCTATCGATCCATCTTGACGTGACTCGCTTCCTTACCCAGCCCACTGAGGTCAATTACGGCCGGATTCGTTTATTCGCAAGCAAAACTTACTTGACCAACGGCCAAGGACTTAACGTTCGCGCTTTGGGGCACGAACAGTAGAACTCTACCCCGCTGAAACTGTCACCCTCGTTCCGTAACTCACTTAACAAATACTTTTGCTTATCTACGGAGAAATCACTTCCCTCCAACCGGACGGGTTTTGATAGACTCGATTCAACCAGTGACGGGTGACAGCCGGAGCACCAATCACCTTGTGCGTTTCCCAGTGGGAGGTGCTTGGTTTGACTCACTTAAAGTTACGATGGATTCACTTGAAGTTGCAGTGGTTTCACATGAAGTTGAAACGATACATACTGTAACATGTTCAGCCCAAGTTGTGCAAACATTAACCTTGCACCGGTTGCCGGCTCTCGACCAATTTGGACAACCAATCAAGGAGAGAGAGAGAGAGAGAGAGAGAGAAGACAGCACTATCGATAGTAAACTACATAATGTGGGCAAACTAAATCTGCATCGATAGTAAGCAAGTAGATGCATCACCGGTACTTAATCATATCACCCAGTCTTCTCAACAGTTGATTAGGTTGGTCACAAAGTTCCCAAATAACGTTAAACAAAGAAAATCGTGAGCAAGCACTGAGACGGGCATCATCATTGTTCTGAGGTTTACATGGAAATTTGAGGAAACCCTGTATTTTTAGATTCTCTTGGAAAACACGCTTAATGCAAAAAAGCCGTTTTCCTTTTCATGGACTAATAATCCGCAATCGAAAGACGGTAAAACATCACAGCAGAGGTGCAGAATATGAAGGAAATCAATCATTTGGAAATCGAGTGGACCAGCACCACAAAGTATGTCAGCACTACACAACCGGACCAGGAGGATTCAAACCCGAAAACGTGCTGGAACTAGCGTGATTCAGTTGATCTGATGTGGTTCTCAGGCGCTCAAATGAATTATTCGTCTGGCCTATCCATCTCTCTCAATTTCTCACCAATAGCAATTATTGTAATCAGGTCAACTAAATCCACCTGGTCATAGATGCAACGTGTCCCAATCATCGAAATTTGTGAAGATCAAGCACACCCGCGGTAGTGCAAGACTTCATGTGTATGGTCACATATTGAAAGCGATCGAACACATGAATCACACACCGGTGCAGCCTGGGTAACATCGTGCTTCAATTAGATTATGTGGATAGCACTGTGCAACCGGGCTAAAATCCCGGTGAATGTCAAGACCTTTTAAATACGAGAATGGAGATTAATCGCAGTGCAGAAACGTATTACTCAGTGCGTGTTTCAGAATGAAACTTACCATTCTTGAAGGCCAACAGTTCGAACACACTGTGTAAAATGGAAACAACCACAGTAATTGCCAACAAATATGGACTGGTCTCCACGAGGGCTTTCTACAACAAACAACGGGAAAAGAGGTTGAGCATAGCTGCACACCAGATCAGATGAAAAATCGAACAGTAATTGAATTCTGTTAGTTCACCACGACTGACACTTGTGTATCAAAACTTCTGGTAGATCTTTACCCGTGTTATTCCTCCTCAATGTTTCCTGTTGCCGGTAGTTTATCCCAATTTCACAATTTATCTCTAATATTTTTTTATCATCATGAGTGCCCAGAAACCCAAATGTACCAAAGTTGAGTTGGTCGACCTGAAGTAAACCTTAAGTAGAGTAATCCCGAATATCAAGTGCATTAAGCTTTTCTTGACTTGACGTATAAAACTGAATTTTGTTTGGTGGTTTTTGTAAGATCTTCATTTTTGATTAATTAAGTTCTGGTTACACTGAGGGTGAATAGTGGATATGATACCAATGCAAATCTCAAAAGGTATTCGGATTTGTTTCCATCTGTTTGATATGAAATTATGCTCAAAACGAAACTTTCGATTTTGTGACGTGAAATCACGCCACGGTAGACCGAAACAAAGAAACTAATAAAACAAATCGGACATCTGACGGATGAAAAGAGCTAGAAAATAATTGCTGCCAAAGATGTCAGTGTATGCTGTGCAAACTTGGTTGGAACTCTTGCTCTCAAGAGGAGCACAATTTACAGTACTGTTCCCGGAAAACGTCAGAGAAAATCAGATGAGTGAAGGCCAATTACCCCCAGATATGATGCCCACCTGATTCAAATAACTTCAAAGTTTTCTAACAAACCAAGGGCATACACGTTGAACAAAAATTCACTGGCATTCAGTTATTGTTGTGGACGAAGAATGATTTCACTATGCTGAACGCGACGAAGTTCAGAGTTGCAGCCCGCAACGACGAGAAGGGTCCATCATGTTACGGCTACAGTTTGTCAAAGAGATGCGCAAGCATAAAGTTGACTTTTGGTGTTTAGTTTTTCTTTTAGATAAAATTTCTTCATGGCAAGCCCGCAGCCTGGTCATCCGGGCACGAAATTTTCCATAAATATATACAAGGAGTACGAAAGATAAGTCATCATTCACAGTGGATAAGTAGGTTTGGGATAAAATGTAATAAAGCTATGAAATGCCCCCCCCCCCTCCATCGAGAGCCGAAAATCCCGCTTCCTGACCAAGAGCACTTTGTAGGCAGTTTGAATCATTTCCGTTAGAATGATGGTTATTTCAATTAACGGCTCACCTTGATAAAATTTAAGGCTTCCAAGGGTTTCATTCTTGATGAAAGCGATGTGGAAGTCTATTCAACAAAGGAACGAGCATTTTCTCACGCGTGCTACATCAGTGTCTATGAGGAACGTTTCACAGTATCACATGTAGTGGATGAATTTCGAGTGAAGTATTTTTTCCCCTTTCGATCCATGAACATGCCATTGCTGATACTTGAACGCTGATGAAAAGGCCTTATAGTATAAACAACTATCATAAAGAAAAATAAATATCAAAAGAATTGACGGTTTCCGAAGCCCCGAAAATCCAAAAGACGTGAACTTTACTGCTTTGTGGGTGTCTGACTGAAGAAAAGCTATCACCGCTAATTAGTGAGGAATTTCGAAGTTCACGAGTAAAGGCTTGTCCTATAATCATATTTCTTCCAAAACATGACATCTGCTTCATTCGAAAGATGGCTGTCCGATGTCAACCACAAGATGGTTTCTCTAGGACGCTCTATAAATATTGTTGTTTATAGATAACACCCCTTGTCATAACAAAGCCTTCTCGAATGTTAAGTCAGCATAGCTACCCCAAACTGGTCATTAGCGTTGTAACCAGTGAATCAGGCTATCGCCTGATTTTTGAATTGTTCGTTGCAAATATATTCAGTGGATCAAGTGTGTTGGAATACAAGCAACAGATCACAAAATATACCAAAAATGCAGCCACTTTCGAACGAATGCGATTTAATTTGTCTGTGGTTTGAGTACTAAAACTCATTCGATGTTGTGGCCACCAAGGCCACGGACGTGATTTTCGCGACCGTAAGATAAGTCACGCTGACGGGAGCAAAATTCAATCAATGGACCGGCTTTGACCTACCTGAGCAAACGGGTGAGTCACGGTTGACCTCACTCGTAAGCAGGGTGTGGAGTGAGGTGTTGGATCGCCACCCGGTCGATAGACTATGTGGCGTAACAACCAGTAACACGTACTTGAGGCGAACGCAGTACTGTGATACAAGTTCGGTCGGCCGATGTGATGGTAAATTAACTTTGTTCATGAAATGATGTACCATGCAGCACCATGCTCAATCCACCACTGTACAGATGTTTATGGTACATATGAACCATTACCAGTGCATAACCATTGCACCCCAAATGGGTCGCTATTATTCTTTTAACGGAAAGACAAAAAGTAACAATGACGAAGAACCTTCCGTAGTTCATGTTCATTCCGTCACAAAAATGCCAGGCGACTTCTTACACTAATCGATGCTATATGTCTCAAAGCTAGCGGAAATGATGTGCCTGATCCACGATAGACCGAACGAAGTGCACAAGAACTTTTTTCAAACTACAATATTCACTTTTTGTAATGATTCTCTTTGAACTAAGTCTGATACCCTAGATCAGAAACAATACTGATTGAAAAATGGTTTAGTAACAAGTCTGTCAAAAGAAGAGATAAACCAGAGAGGGATAAACTACGAATGACTATTGCGCATCATTTCAGTTTCAGTTTCAGTTTGTACAACCATTAACCACACATATTCGTGCGCCGGTTTTGGTTGCTGTCTTTTGGTTACCCATTTGGATGAAGAATAGAAAGGAAAGTTGGAAGTGGAGTCGAACAGAAAATGGAAAATTTCAGTGGTATAAGGTTGCAAAGAAATTGAGATGCACAAACGCCACTGTTTACGACACCCAGCCATATCACTCAGTGTCTCTGACCATCGGTGACCATCATCCCGAGGTCCCCAGCCAGGGAGCCTAACGGGACCTATGTGATCCAGTCTCCTGGTCAAGGTTTTCATACCCTCGTGCCAGGTCTTAGGTTGACCACCCTTGGATTTCCACCCACCACCTGCCTCGACAAACATCGCTCGCTATGGCACTCTGTCTGCTGACATGCGTAACATGCCTCAACCAACGTAATCTATAGAGGTAGACCACTTGGTTCAGTGGGCGACCGCGGATACCCCAAAACTCTGCGTCTAACCTCAGCATTGCTCATACGGCTACCCCACCATATTCGTGCAATGCTGCGGAGACAACGGTGTTCAAACACCGACAGTTTATCTGTATCTTGTTTTCCTAATGGCTA